GTGTGTGTGTGTGTAGTATATATATATATATATATATATATATATATATATATATATATATATATATATATATATATATGGATAAAACAAAACGTCTATTTACATATATGTGTGTAGCTATATACATATATATCGAGCGAAAAAGGTCAATTCTGTGCATGTATACACAGTGATATTGAGTACACAACTTCATACATGTATGTCTGTATCTACAAGCTAAAATTCAAGGCAATCTGCAAGGTAGAGTCGCCGATTTTACTATGGTAAGGGAACTAGGCAAACCCCCCCTATCGCCCGACGTATGTAACTTGCATCAAAAACTCAAAATTTTAACTGGAGGGCGCACACTCCATCGTCTATGCATGCACATAAAACACGCCATGTATAATGTATAAAACTCATTTCAATCTCTTGACTTGACACACACCTTAATTACAGATGTATACCCCACCCCATCTATAGCTATAACACACACCTTTGATTGCTGTAAAATTATTACAGGAGAAATGTCGTTGGCTTCGGCCAACGTTTGCAGTGTCTGTTCCACAGATACTTCAAATTCGTCACTGTCCCAGTTTTTATTACTCGACATATCAGTTTCTAAATCGCCTATAGCACCAGCCAGTGTGTTCACGTCTTCAACGGTTTGCTGATTATTGTTATCCTCATCCGCATGTTCTCTGACATTACTCACGCCGTTTACAACGGCCTCTAACGATTCCGAAGTAGGTTGTAAAATATTTGTAGATGCCATTGCTGTCCCTTCTGTCACCACCACACCTACAGCTACTGCATCTGTTATGACTTTAATCTCTATACCTATCGCTGAGTTTGGGTTTGGAATGGTAGAGGTTTGGTCACCGAAGTATTGCGGTATCCGCACGAGTAGGAGTATGGTAGCCAACACTGACAGCACCACTGTGCGTCTGTATGTCCTCTCACCCATCATCACAACCATATTCGCTTAGCAAACAACTGGCCCTTGTATGCAAGTTTATAGCGGCTCGCACCTAGCTCTCAGTTATATACAAGTATATATTTTCTTTCGAATAACTACTACCGGCATGCGTGTATACATGTGGCGCATACAAATACATATATCTATACAAATAAATAAATATGCGTACACTTGATTATCACAAGAGCGCTAATCCATTGTGCTCTATTTTGTGGTATCGGGTTTGAAATGGAACGGGCAAACACGCCTGTTTCGCGAGTGTGTACATGCTACTTCTTGGTGAGCAAGTTGTTCATAACACTATTGCAATAGCCCGTGTAATATGTAAAAGTACATGAAAACGTGGTATGTGTCACTGTTGACAAGCGCAATTTACTTATACGTACAATTGTAAATGCCAACAATCGGCAGTATTTAAAAATATGTGGTCTACAGACGACGTAAATATGTACAATATCGATAGAATACATGAGCTGGGATTGATGATTGGTTGTTATGGCGGATGTGAGATCTCAGATCAGAGATGGATTATGAGACTTTTCATTGGCTGTGGCTAGTGGTATATAATACCGGCTTGTAAAGAGCCGGTGCGATGCGCGCTTCCATACTACTGCTGCCGATGTAAACGATTGCTGTTGCTGTATATTTATTACCCACTGCATCAATGAATATGGGGTGCTCGAGCGACCTGCGAAGCTAAAAACGACTTTGCAAATTTTAAGGCTGATCATTTGAAGCCTAATTACATTTATCTCTTTTGGTTTGATAGTAGGCCCGAGCTTAGAAGGTCGAGCTTCATCATTTGGTCTTGGGCAATTTCAATTGCATTATACAAAATGTAGGCATCGAGAGACATGGGGCCGACTTCTGATATACTATCGATTTTATGACTACGTGAAATTATTCAAATACCATGTCACCTGAGTAATTGCATCACTATAATGTGAAATTGATCTTCTAATTAAATATCCTTGTATCTATCAGAACCATTTAGGCACTCGTGACAACTTATATGGGGATTGGTGCTGCACCTGTTGTTCATTGATCCAGATTCACAGAGATGAAGTATGTGGGTTTTTAGGGCTTTGCCCTAAACAATAGGAATGAGCATACTATCATCATGTCTCAGCCGCAGCAGGCACCGCAGATCAAAGTCAAAGTCAAACAGGGCGATATGAAGCTGAGTGATACCGTACCGCCCCAGAACAGAACTTGTCCACCTGGTGCACTACCTGGTATGCAATTAGCCTATCTACTGTAGCCGAGTTATCCGCGCGGCCCCCCTCATGACATAGATCCAATAGTCCAACTCGTAGTACACACTACGATCCTCAGTCACCACAGCCACAGTATGGCACTAGGTCACCTCAGCCAGGCTATCGCCACCAATATAGTGACTTGCACTCCAACGATTCCCTGTAACAGCCTATGCACAGACCCCCACAAGGCCCACCTCAGATATATCCGATGCACAACCACTCTTCCCCAGGGGAACACTACGGCCACCAATTTATACGATAGTACTGGCTACAGTCCACCTCCTAATCAGCACGCATCGAGCCACGACAATATGCCCCAGCAAACACAGAGCCCACAACAACTACGGCCACAGGCACTACCTTAGAATAGAAAGAAAGCGGATCTGAACACAGAGCAAGTGTTCCACCTACTGAGGCTGTTGCTGATAACCTAAATAGTTATGGTAGTCCACAGATGATTGAGGATGGGCGATAGGGACGTTTTGAACAGTATTTGGTTGATAGACATCTTGCAACGGTCAAGGATATGACGGCGTTCGGTTCAATGGGAAGTCTCTATCGAATGATAGAATATAGTTCGCAGTGCAAGACTAAGTGGACACAATCTTTGGTTATCTGCATAATACACTCCTGATAGTGTGTTTGAATCGTATTCGCATGTAAATAGAGTATGATATTGTTTTTTCTAGTCTTTCTACCCGTCACAGAGATCGTATACACCCAACAGGGATTCGTACATTCGAGTGTACGTACATTCGAGTGTAATCAAGCCGTCGCTTACCAGAAATGTACATCGTCACTTTAATTACAGAATTAAAACTGATACGACACAGAGCAATGTTTTTTTGGGGTTCAGCTTATAATGCATCTCTGAGGTATAGTTTACAGAAAGAACATGAGGAAGACCTTGTATTCAATCGTCCGCATATAAACAGTCAAAAGATAAACATGTATCCTAAAAAATATAGCACGTGTACATCCGTAGTATACACAGCTGAGTAAGGAAACCATAAAAACTACGGGATGAATACATGTGCAAGCTATACTGTTGTATGTATACAAAAATGTCTATATTTAAACAGACATCGATTCATGAAGGCATAGATGTGGCGCAATATTACATAGAATTTTAAAGCATTTATTATGTATCAAACACGTAAATAGATGGTGGGCAGATCTTTGTGTATGAATGTAGATGCTCGAAATCTCATTGTGTTCATACGTGTGTTTGCATAATTTATAAACATATAATCTGAATATACATATATACATGCAAAAATATTTATAGCTATATGAATAT